TGACTGACTCACAGACCACTCCTGACTCAGACCCTGCCACTGCGGCACCAGAAGGCCTTCCTTCCCCTTATCAGTGCATAACTGTCCTTGGTCAGGCCCTATATACGTCCCACTGCCTCACTGCCAGGGCGACTTCCCTGACCTAGTTCATTGGGTCTTGGAACCTTCCTGGGTCTCAAGATGCCCCCGTCCCTTTCTCTGCTCTCCCTTCCCTCCTGGGAGTTCTTTCCCTGCCTCAATAAAATCTTTCTCAACTTCTCATTCCTGCCTAAATTCTATCTCTGTTCCACGCCTCCGTCTCCAACCTCTCATCCTCCATTTGCCATGATGTTGCCTCTCGGTCCAGTTGTGAGGATTTTTATTCTCTTTAAGTTGGGTTGTCATTCATGTGGAAGGCTACAATCTTTGCTCTTCATCAGCCAGGGCTTCAGGCCCTCCTCACTTTCAGCAAGCAAGGGGGTGTCCTCTGGGTATTGAAGGTTCTTAGTAAGACTTCATTGGGGGGGGGATCAGGGAGGGCAAGGGGGTGTCCTCTGGGTATTGAAGGTTCTTAGTAAGACTTCATGGGGGGGATCAGGGAGGGAGGCGGGAAATGAGGAGCTGATGCCAAGGGCTCAAGTAGAAAGCAAGTGTTTTGAGAATGATGAGGGCAACACATGTACAAATGTGCTTGACTCAATGGATGGATGGATGGATTGTGATAAGCGGTGCATGAGTCCTCAAGAAAGTGATTTAAAAATAAATAGATCAAATGAAATAAAGACTTCATGCGATTTGGATGCCACATTCCTCTTTATTTAATCCAGCCTCACTGATGATTTCCTCAGCACAGACTGAACAAATGTGGTGAGACCGTACGGTCCTGACTCACAAGGCTGCCTCCCTTGCTCTGCTTGCACCGCTGCCTCTCGACCCAGGTCCAAGTCCCTCAGGAGCACAATGAAGTAAGTGCACCGGGCTCCGTATTTTTAGCAGGGCTATGCACACTTGGTTAGGAGCCACAAAGTCAAATGCCTTAGCAGAATCAATAAAATACAGACCACTTTCTGCTATTGTCTGCTTTGAGGCGAGACGCATCTGGCACCAGCAACGATATCCCTGGTTCCACATCCTCTGAATCCGGCCTGAACCTCTTGCAGCTCCCGGCCCATGTGCTGCTGCAACCGTTGTCTGATGATCTTCAGCAAATGTGTATGTGCATGTGATATCAGTGATATTGTTCTGTAACTCGGGCGTCCTGTTGGGTCACCTTTCTTTGGAATGGGTACAAAGAGGGATCTCTTCCAGTCGGTTGGCCAAGTGGTCGTCTTCCAGATTTCCTGGCGTAGACGCGTGATTGCTTCGTCAGCTTGCTGGAACATTTCCGTTGGCACTCCATGGATTCCCAGAGCCTTGTTTTTGGCTGATGCATTCGGCGCAGTCTGAGCTTCTGCCTTCAGCACCACTGGCGCTTGCTCACATGCTGCCTCCTGATATGGTGGGCTGAAGAGTTCTTTTTGGTGCAGTGACTCTGTGGTTTTTTCCATCTCCTTTTGAAGCTTCCTGCATCATCCAGTATTTTGCTCAGAGACTATTTCAGTATTGCAGCTCGAGGCTGGACTTTTTTTTGAGTTCTTTCAGTGTAGGTAATGCTAAGCATTTCGGTTTTGTTCTTTGTTTCTGACTGGCTGGCCGGTTTGTGCAGCACAGGAGTGGATGTGCTAACTGATGCTGGGCCTTGTAGGGCATGTAGGGCCGAGGGGTGGGGGGGGGACGGGACTTCAGGAGCAAGCAATGAAGGTAGGAGGGGGAGTGAGCGCTACAACTGAAGGTGATTGCACAACTCATGGGATGGAAAGAAAATGTTCTGGAATGGATCGCGGTCATGATTGTGCAATTCTTCTTGAGAGGATTGAATGATTGGTTGCGTGACATGTGGATTCAGAGCCAAGAAGACTGTTAGAAAACCAAGGAGGAGGAAGATGCTTAGCATATCTTCTTTTTTTAAAAAATTAGTTCGATTAATTTTTTTCTCTTCCTTAACTTTTGAATTCATAGGTGTGTGCATGCTCCATTAGAATAGTTGACTTTGTCTTCTCGCACTGCCCTTTGAAATGATCTGTTCAGCGCTGTGGTGCCCTCCTCTCTTTCATGTGCCCCAGAGACTAGCTGAGAAGCAATGTCAGAGTCTCTGCTGATGTTCACTTGATCTCTCTCCTTCCTTCCCGTCTTTTGAATGACCTTTTGCGTCTTCATGAATGCTCTTCTTGATGTCCTCCCCCCGCTCAGCAGGGTGTCTGCCATTTAGAAATCATTAGGCTGATTCCTGAAAGTCCTTGTTCACACTGCCTTTCTGTCCTGCCCCAAAGCCCTCCCTGGCTCCCCACTGCCCTGGAGTCAGTTCCTCTCTTCAGTGTAGGCAGGCAGCAAGGACCCCCCCTGGCCCACTTGACCCCCACAGAGCTTCTGCCTGCACCCCCTCATTCCTGCCTCAGGGGCCAGCCTTCTCCTCTCCTGAACCCCCAACCTCTCCCTTCTTTCCAAGCACCAGGAACAGCAAAGTCCCAGCCAGCACCCTCTCCTCAATGCAAGGCAGCCTCTCCCTACTGGACTGGACGGGATCGCTGGCCAACTCAACCTGGAGTGCGGGGCTCCAGGTCTCTAGTGGGGACTCGTGTGTGTGTGTGTGTGTGTGTGTGTGTGTGTGTGTGTGTGTGTGTGACAGACAGACGGGCAGACAGAGGGCTACTGAGACCAGGTGTCCGCTCCCCCATCCCCTGCCCAGAAGTCATCATGTGTGGTCACAGTCTGCTCTTGCCCAGGTTTGCAGACCCATTTCCTGCCCGGGAAGGGAGCCAATCACCTCACCTGCGGGCAGAGGAGATAAACACGAAGTGAGCCCAGCGGAAGGAGCGTGCAGTCTCGGGGGAGACAGCCAGCAAGCCAGCACCCCAGGGCCTGGGGCCCTGAGGGGAGGGGAGGTGCCCAAAGGGAGGTGCCTGGCCATGTTGGGGGTCAGTGTCAGTGGGGACAGGCAGGGAAAGCGTGCTGGGCAGAGGGACAAAGGATAGGTCTCTGTGCAGAGCAGAGTGGCACCACTTGGCTGTAAAATGGACAGGGAAGGGCAGAGAATATTCTGGAGAGCAGGGGTTACTACTAGAGTGTGGGGTGAGGAGGGTCCCCAACAAATCATCGCAGGTCCGGTAGGCGCAATTGTACAGTGGTAATAAGCAAAGATTATAGTAAAGTCATAGAGAGCGTGAGAGGTGGAGGAGAGGTTGGAATAATGAAGTCTGACACATTCCATGGTAGCATGCTCACCTCAGCCCCGCTTGGTGGTCCGCGTGAGGGAGACCAGCGAGAGCAAGAGAGCCCCAACTTTATTGCTAACCAAGGGGTGTATCTCCTTAGGGGGGCATGGTTACAGGTAACCACACATCACAGGAAGGGGCAGTACAATAGATATACACATTGAGGAAGGGGATGTATGGTAGGCATAAGCATAACAGGAAGGGGATGAGCTAGGGGTGTGCCCATAGGAATGGGAGAGACTAGGAGTATACATGTGACAAGATGGGTGGACCCTAGATTCATGATGGTGGCCTAACCTTGGTTACCCTTGGGTGGGCTTGACCTCTCTGGGGTCTCCTACAAGGAAACAGACAGCCACTATCCTTATCAGAAGGGAGTGGGCCCTACTTGTGGGATAAACAGTGGTGTCTGCTTGCTCTAGATGTCTGATAACCCTTAGGGAGAATGACCCCTGATCTACTCCTGATGACCTCCAAGTGTATAGCCATTCGCAAGCAGCTAAGTTTGGCATATATTTGGGGGAGAAAACTTGGGAGAAATCCTTCTGTTTCCTACACTAGAGAGGAACAGGCAGGTGCCTCCGGGGTGCGGACTTTAGCCGGAGGGCAGCTTCGGTCACTTTGTACCTGTGAGGGAGTGAAGGTGCCAGGCAGGGACACCAGGCAAGTGCCAGCAGCAGTGATTCAGGAGGGAGGGGGTGGAGCTGGGACTGTGGGGGCAGGGTGAGTGGGGAGCTGCAGGGACCTTCTGCACTCTAAGGATGCTGGGGGGAGGCCCCACTTGGGACTGACGGGATCTCCCTGGAGCCGGTCTGGACAGCCTGGATCGACCACCGAGATCCAAACAGCAGGAGGTCATCAGGGCTCCAGGTTCCCCGTGACCCCTCACGCAGCCACCTGCAGCCTTTGCTGGACCGTGGGCCAAACATGAGAGTGGGCAACGGGTCATGTTTGAATGCGAGTGTGTGCGCCCTTCTGCTGCGTGTGGAGGGACGCGCTGGTCCAGCAGCCTGTGGGTCTGTATCAGGGCTCCCTGCAAAGCTGCTGTCCGGCACGCCACAGGATGTCCTCTGGTTCCCAACCCTTCCCCGCTCCCCGAGACAGCCTGAGAAGGGCCCGAGGGTCCGCTCAGCGACCACAACACATCTTGCCTCACACCGTTTTTTATTGGTCCCCTGGAAGAAGTCCCCAGCCCCCCCGCACCCCCCCACCCTGCCTACCCCCTGCAAGCTGGAGACCAGGACGGTCTCAGATCTTCCTGCCTCCGAAGATGGGGCGGTTGATGTGCTCCGGGGAGGCCAGGAAGGCCTTGAGCTTGGGCCGGGCGCTGAGCCGTGCCACGTAGGCCGAGAGCAGGGGCAGGGTATCCAGGCAGCTGGGGACCAGGACCTGGTGGGCCATGAGGAAGTCCAGCAGGTTGTAGTCGGCGAAGGAGATCTGCGAGGTAGAGGTGCAGGGGCTTCAGGGGGTGAGGAGGAGTGGGGGGCTGCCCGGGAGCCTGGCTGCTCTGCTGTCTCCCAGTGTAGCCGCTGAGTGTCACCCCAACACCTGCCCCGGGGGCCTCTGCCTGCACCAAGTCACACAGAATCTTTCCTAATGTCCTCGATCACTTTTAATCATAAGATGCTGCGGCGGCGGCGGCGGCCGGGTGCCCTCCGGTCGGTTCCGACTCACCACGACCCCGCGGGCCCCAGACCGGAACACCGTCCGGGCACTTTGTGACTGTCCCTCTACTTCACCAAGTAAACCTGATGTCTTCTCCAGGGACTGGTCTAACAGGTGATCAATAATTGCTTAAATCTAGTGGCTCTTGGATTATCTGAGCTCAGAGCGCCCTGTTTTCTGAACTCGTTCTACACCGAATGGCAGCGTGACCGGTGACCATGTTGGGTGTAACCGGGCAGCAGCCTCTTCTGCTCTGTCCCTTCAACTACTAATTCATCCCACCCACCCCCCAAAAAAAGCAAAAGAAAGAAACGAAAAAGCTTATTAATATAGGGTCACACCTACCACCCTATGATGGCTACAACACCAGAGAATTTGACAGAACCAGAAACTGTCGAACCAGTGGCGGCAGCAGACGCAGACGGAACCGCGAGGTCCAAAGCTTCGTTTGGTCACCGGGTAACGGTGACAGCTCTGACGGGCACTAACTAGCTCGCTGCCATCAAGTTGATGCTGACTCAGACCGACCCTAAAGGATGGGGCAGAACTGCCCCCGTGGGTTTCTGAGACCGTGCTACCTCTTCATGGGAAAGCCTGTCTTCCTCTTGTGGAGGGGCGGGTGGTTTTGAACTGCTGACCTTGGCGGTTCGCAGTCCAATGCTTAACCCACGAGGCCACCCTGAACCACTAGGCCACCACCAGTGAGTCCCGGGAGCCTTCTCCGCGTGCTGATCCGTGTGAGCTCGCTTGACCAATGAATGCTTCAGCCGTTCAAACTACAGGGATCTTTTGATCAATGGCGTGGCTGCTGAAATGCTGCAGGAAAATTTCATCAGCAGTTTTTTCGGTATCGTCACACTCCCCGCAGTCTCCTCAAGATGAGGCTGGACAGGGCCGGGGCCCTGCTGAGGGCTCAGTTGGTCCTTCTGATAAATGGGTCTACGCGAGCCTTGTGCTCCTTTCAGGATGGTCCACATGGGATCCGGAAGGGGCCCCGGCGGCACCGTGGTTCGGCGTTTGATGGTGAACTTAGCAGTTGTGTAAGAGAAAGGCGAGGCTGTCTGCTTCCATAAGGACCCGCAGCCTCGGAGACAGACCTCCCCGGGGCAGCTCTCCTCTGTCCAAGAGGGTCGCTATGGGTCGGACTCGATGGGACAGCGGTGGGTTTGTAGATGGAAAGAAGAGATGAGAACCTGGGGAGACGAGGAGTATAGGTTTGGGAGGAAAAGCGACTCAGAGAGGTGATGGTTTACAGAAAGCGATGGGTGTTAGGGGAAGCCCCCCAAATCCGTTTGCAGGCTCCCCACGTGGATTAAGCTTCTGGGGACTCCGCTCTCATCACAGCCCAGGGAGGCGAGTAGCCTTGTGTTCAGATAGAGGTGGGGCACTGGGAAGCCCATCGCGGCAGGCGCAGTCGGGTTAAAGCGTAACACCTCACCGTTTGATCCCCTCTTGGCCCATTCTCAAGTTGGGTCCGTTGCAATGTTTCCTGATTTCTGTTTGACTGGAGCTCGCCCTCTGTTTCGTCTAGTCATTGCTGTTCGGGTTTTTCTTTGCTCCCGGTGTGTGCTCTGTCTGACTTTCCAGATACAAAATTCAGAATAGATAAATCCAGGGAGGCAGTCACTGGACGGATACTTACCCCAGAGCATGGCAGGGGAGGTTTGGGAGAAAATGGGCACGAGAAGAAAATGTTCTGAAATTGATTGTGGGGATAACTGTCCAACCCATCTGAACATGATCGAACGGTGAAGTTGCAGGACACATGACGGGTGCCAATAAGCCACTGGAGCAAGAACAGGGGGTGAGGATGGCTGCACATGTAGAAAGTGCAGGACGGGGTTTGTTTGGCTGTGTATGCTGACAACAAAGTCAGTAAAACCTAAAAGTCGGAGATCCCCTTGCAGAGGGGTCTCGGGGAGGAGATGAGCCAGTCAGGGTGCGATGTAGCAACGAAGAGAAATACAACTTTCCTCTAGTTCCTAAATGTTTCCTCCCCACACCCACTATCATGATATGAATTCTACCTTGCAAGTCTGGCTAGACCAGAGGAGGTACACTGGTACAGGTAGGAACTGGAAATACAGGGAACCCAGGGAGGATGAGCCCTACAGGGCCAGTGGGGTGAGTGGCGATACTGGGAGGGTGGAGGGAGAATGGGTTGAAAAGAGGGAACCAATTACAAGGAACTATATGTGACCTCCTCCCTGGGGGACGGACAACAGAAAAGTGGGTGAAGGGAGACGTCAGACAGGGCAAGATATGATAAAATAATAATTTATAAATTATCAAGGGCTCAGGAGGGAGGGGGGAGCAGGGAGGAAGGGGAAAAATGAGGACCTAATGCCGGGGGCTTAAGTGGAGAGGAAATGTTTTGAGAATGATGAGGGCAATGAATGTACAAATGCGCTTTACACAATTGATGTGTGTATGGATTGTGATAAGAGTTGTATGAGTCCCTAATAAAATGATTAGAGAAAAAAAAAACCTAAAAGTCAATTAAGAATAAAAAGTAAATACAATGTTAAACTAGACAAACTATTTTAACAGAACCTTCCAAGAAAGGCACACAGAGATGGGCCTAGAAGCCATGGCAGGCAGGCAGGTGGAGCGCTCACCTGGTCACCCACAATGAAGGCCTGGCCCCCCTGGTTCTGGGCCAGCAGGGTCTCGAAGGGCTGCAGGTGGCCGGGCAGCTCCTGCACATACTGGGCCTTGCCCTCCTCCTGGGGACAGTGGGGAAGGCTGAGTGAGGTGCTGAGGATGGCCCTGCGCCCGCCCCCACCCTGCAGGCTCCGCCGCTGCTCACGTAGTTATGGTGGATGAGGTGGGCACAGCGCCGACGCAAGTCCTCCACACCGTCATTCACCATGTCCACCAGGGCCGCCTCCCGCGTGTCTTTGCCGTACAGCCCTGGGCAGTGGCCAGGTGGCCGGCTCAGTCTTGCGGCCAGCTACCCCCACCTATTTCTTTCCCAAAGCCTCAGGCCCCAGAAGGCCTGCCTCAGGCCTGGGCATGGGGCCCTCCTTGGGCCTTGGTCTTAGAAAGCTCACCCCAGCCTCCTCTGCCGCTGCTATGGAGTCGAGGGGTCAGGGGGACACGCCAGCCGGGCACCTGTCAAAGGTCCTGAGCCCACTCCCTGGGACCTTCCCTCCTGAGGGTGGGCTGAGCCACTAGCGTGCTGCCCAGGCCCAGGGACTTGGACAGGTGGGCTGCTAGATCCATGTGGGGGCACGGGTGGTGACAGGTGGGGCTGCAGGTGGCTCTCGGAGACCCTGCCTGCCTTGTTCTGGGGCCACCTGCCTGCCTCCACTGTCCCAGGGGACTCACCCAGGGAGCGGCCCAGGTGCCGTAGGATGGCGTTGGACTGGTACAGGCTGAGGTCTCCGTCCTGGAACTTGGGAAGCTGCCCATACAGCTGGGGGGGTGGGGGGTACGGCAATGGCTCTGTGAGGGGGCCTAAGCGCGGTGTCCCGGGCCCAGTCCTGCCCACCCACTGCAGCACACTCAGACACGTACACAAGAGGCCTTGAGCTGTCCCTGCATCCAAGTCTCCTTGGTCACCACCTCCTCCTTCCAGCTCTGGCCCTGGTCAGCCAGCAGCATGCGCATGGCCTCGCAGCGCCCTGGGGACACGGGGATGTGGGGATGTGGGGATGTGGGGGCAGCACCTCTCCCAGTCCACGGGAGGGGGGTTGCAGGAGGCACTTGGACCTGGACCTGGGGGATGGGGTGGAGTCTGGGAGCCTCCTGGGAGAGGGATGAGGGAGCCTGGATCTCTGCAGGTGGTGTGTGTGTGTGTATGTGTGTGTGTGTGTGTGTGTAGGTCCCTGGGCAGTGGCACAGAGGAGCAGGGCGAGGGCGGGACCCCAGCTGGCCGTGAGGAAGGAGACAGCCTTCGGGGCTTCCTGGAGAGGGGACCGAGAAGGGGTGGGGACCCCCAGCCCCACAGTGCCTTTGAGCGGGGGAAGGGCTGAGACTCGCAGAACGGTGGCCTGGTGCCCAGCAGCTGCCAGCACAGCCCCAGCCCAGGCCCGGCCACCCCCCCAGAGGGAAGGGAAGGAGGAGGGGGCAGGCCGGCACCTCGAGACGGGAAGTAGACAATGGTGTATGGCGGCACTAGAAAAGACAGACAAACACGGGCTGATGGAGGACCCTGGGGCGGGCTTGGGGGGTGGGGGTGGCGGTGGGGTCCCAGTATCACCACTCAGGTTCTAAAGCCCAACCCACTGTCTCTTGCTGATACTGATCATAGATTGCCCCCCTGGGGCGGACTTGGGGGGTGGGAGATGGGGGATGTTCAAGGTCAGCTAGCACCAGGTCACCACACTGAGTCATTTCATTGCCTGTTTATTGTGTTGCCCACTTATAATATTACCCATTGACTATGTAATACATTCACTGTATTATGTGCAGGCCTTTTGAAAGATTTATAAGCCCCATGATTATATATACCCATTGGAAAATACATGATCTCTCTTGGTCCTGACATAAGG